GGGGGCCATCCCCAGCAAAGGCCCATCCTCTGCGCCTGGCCCGGTAGCGGCTGCCCCCAAACCAGCGGAGACTCCTCACCCAGAGGCTCCCAAGGCAGCAAAGCTGTCGTGCCTGGAGAAGAGCCCCAAGAACCCCTGCCCGGGGGGCAGCCCCCCGGCTCCAGCCCCCGCACCCAGCAAGGGCCCCCAGCGCTGCAGCAAAATCCCAGCAAAGGACGGGGACGCACCCAAGGGGATGGGCCCTGAGAGCACCAAGAAGGAGAAGGGGGCACCCCCAAGCCACGAGCAGCACCCAGCCAAGGCGAGAGCCACGAGGGAGCTGGGGCCAGCCAGGAAAGAGCCGGAGGAGATGAAGAAAGATGTCGGAGGTGGCAAGATGGAGCCAAGGGAAATCAAAAAGCCTGGAAAAACTACAAACAAGTCAGAGGGACCCAAGGGGGAGCCAGGAGGGATTCAAGAAAAGTCAGAAGATGTGGCAAAGGAGGTGGGGAAAGTGAAGGAAGAGCTGGGAGAGGGTAAAGAGACACCAGGAGAGAGCAAAGAGGAGACGGGTGAGAGCACAGACAAGGACCAGGTAATGTGTCCACAGACCTGCCGGGCTGTTACCCCGTGTCTTGGGGGGCACCGATGCCATTTTCTGGTTCCATGCAGCTCTTCCCATTTGCGTGGGCTCAGCTGAGGGCTGGGGGAAGGTGCCCCTGGGGCCAGCCAGGAGGGCAGAGGAGGGGCAGAGGTACTGGCTGGAAGCGTTGCTGTCCGTGGGGCAAGTGCAGTTTGTGCAGCTCAGTTTTCCGCCGGTTCCTGCATGATTCCCCTCTCTCCTCCGCACAGGCCCCGAGGGACATTTGGTATGAAGCAGAGAAGGTCTGGCTTGTCCAGCAGGATGGATTCACACTCGGTAACTTGCCTTCCTCTGCCCTTGCTTTCCAGCGCCGAAGATAAGAGCTGTCTTCAGCCTGGCTGCGGGTCGGGAGCAGGGTGGGCGCCGGGTGCTGTTCCGGCACCATGCCTGGCCATGCCTCAGCAGGGCTGCGGTCGGAGGTGGCCCCTTGGCAGCTCCCCACGCTGCAGCCGGCTCTGCCCCGAGCTGCCTTGGCCGTGCCGTGCAGGAGGGACTCATCATCCTCTCATTGCAGCCACGCAGCTGAAGCCGGACGTGGGGACGCCCGAGCTGCCGGTGGGGAGGGTGAGGGTGCGCCGGGAGGCGGATGGCAGCATCACGGAGGTGGACGAGGACAGTGTGCAGCGGGGGAGCCCCCCCCTTGGTTTTGGTGGGCGGGGGGGGGGGGGGAGCCCTGCCCACAGCACCTGGTGGATGGCAGTGCCCAGGCAGGATTAGACCTGGGGCAGCCCCGTTGCTCAGGCTGTCATCCCGGACTGGATGGGTCCAGGGTACCGGGGGGCCGGGGGGGTCTGGCACAGCCCGTGC